CTTTGTGGATTGGTGTCAGACATATGGGCTAATGTTGGACTGGTAGGCTTGGACAATAGTGTGTAGGATGCTTTCTTAATGTACACTTACCCTTTATATAAAACTCTCTCTCTTACACATGAGTTTCTGTGGATTTGTTAAAAAGATTACCTTTAGATTACCCAGACTAACACAATGAATTTAAGGGTTTTATATACATTGTAGAGCCCTGGTAGCACAGTAGTTACACCTTGTGCTGCTATCTACAAGGTCAGCAGTTCAAAACCACCAGCTACTCCGAGGAAGGAAGACGGTAAAAAGTTACAGTCTCTGAAACTCACAGCGGCAGCTCTACCCTGTCCACTGGGGCTGCTATGAGTCAGCATCAACTCGATGGCAGAGTGTTGTTGTTAATATAACTTCTAGAAAAAAATATTTTAGTTGATTTAATTGTGAATAACATTTTCAAGAACCTATGCATAACTGTCAATAATTTCCTAAAACACAATTCATCAGAAAAATCCATGGTTGTTCAGCCTCCCCATCTTCCTGCAGGTACAGCTCGCAGTCACTTCGGGGGTTGAAAGGTATATAGAATACCATCTTTTCATTGCTGTATCACCAGGTGGAACACAGTTCTTGAAATAAAGTAGACGCACAATAAATATTTGTTAGAGGAAGGAAGAGATGTACAGTGTGCCTTAATAGTGGTCCATTGAATATAATGCTCTTTGGTTACACAGTCTACTATTAATAAGCAGTTAACTTATCTCTAATCTCTTGCTATTGCTCACAATCCAACATTGACCATCCTTGAGTAGAGAAGTCATTTTGGAAGGTCAGGGTGTATCTTTCAACTCTACTTCAAGTCCTGAACTTGATGAGTCTAAGCATATATCTTCCATTTTGATAGATATTACAGGTTGCCCCCCATTTTAAAGGTAGTGCTAATTCAGACCCCTACAGCCTAATGTGAGAATACCCGTTTTCCCAACCTGTATCACCAAATCCGTGAAAAATGCTCTCGGTGTGATTTTTGGGGA